AAGTGTTGAGAGTTTTCTTGGCATAATTATTTTACTTTGAGTTCTTAAAATGTGATATTATTTATAGTTTGTGAAATGAGTTAAACACTTACTACATGAAGTCTCATGTTCTCCCCCAGGTGCTGCATTTGCTTCAGATATATCTGGTGGAATTAGCACTACAACAGCTGTATTTTGTCATGAATTGCCACATGAACTAGGTTAGTGGAATCTAAAGAACTTTCATGTTTTATCTTTTGAAAATTTTCTTATCTTAATATCAGCAGTATGTGTCGATCACATTTCAGTGGTCAAACTTACTAAGAAGAAACTTATAGTTCACTTTACTGTGGGCCTGGCCTGGGTTGATGGTTTATACACTCAACTGATAACCTGTGAGCTGTTCTCTCAAATCCTATCAGCAAACATGCTCACTCTTTCAACTGTGGGGGCATAATGTGAAGGTCAATCCTGCTATTCTGTGGTAAAGAGTAGCCCAAGAATTAGTGCTGGATGGTGTTAACTAGCTGCTCTCTGTCTAGTCTCTCACTTCAAAATTAGGAACTGCTAGTGCAGAATGCCCTCATGTAGCTTTATGTTGTATGTTTAAAAAATGGTAAATTATTGGAAAATCGTTTAAGGTTGTTAAAATATATTTTAAATAAAACCAAAAAAGATTTTTTACTTTTTTTTACGTTGATGCTTTTTTTTCTTATTTCAGGGGATTTTGCTATGCTTTTAAAGGCAGGGATGAGTGTTAAACAAGCTTTATTCTATAATGGTTTGTCATCCGTGTTGTGCTTCTTGGGAATGATCATTGGGGTTTCCTTAGGCAACATTAGTTCTGCTAGTGTTTGGATCTTTGCTGGGGCAGCAGGCATGTTTCTCTATATTGCTTTAGTGGATATGGTGAGTGTACTGAATGTTTGAAAACCAGTTTGGCTCATGAATTCACAACTCACATTTTCTTGTTGCTAATTTACCTGCCTTTAATACAAGTTCATAATTTATATGTTCTTATAACCATTTTTGCTGTCTTGAATACAAAGTCACATTTCATATGTTCTTATAACCATTTTTGCTGTCTTAGATACAAAGTCACAATTCATATGTTCTTATAACAATTTTTGCTGTCTTAGCTACAAAGTCACAATTCATATGTTCTTATAACAATTTTTGCTGTCTTAGATACAAAGTCACAATTCATATGTTTTTATAACAAAAAAATGGTTATAAGAACATATGAATTGTGACTTTGTATCTAAGACAGCAAAAAGCTGTCTTAGATACAAAGTCACAATTCATATGTTCTTATAACCATTTTTGCTGTCTTAGATACAAAGTCACAATTCACATGTTCTTATAACCATTTTTACTGTCTTAGATACAAAGTCACAATTCACATGTTCTTATAACCATTTTTACTGTCTTAGATACAAAGTCACAATTCATATGTTCTTATAACCATTTTTGCTGTATTAGATACAAATTCACAATTCATATGTTCTTATAACCATTTTTGCTGTCTTAGATACAAAGTCACAATTCATATGTTCTTATAGCCATTTTTGCTGTCTTAAATACAAAGTCACAATTCATATGTTCTTATAACCATTTTTGCTGTCTTAAATACAAAGTCACAGCTCATATTTTCTTGTAACAATTTTTTATGCATTTAATATGAAATCACAATTCATATATTGTTATAACCATTTTCTCTACTTTTAAAACAAAGTCATAACCCATATGTTCTTTATTTTCCCTTCTTTTAATACAGAGTTGAATGTTATATTTCATCCTGATGTATTAAATATTTAAAATACATTTTTTGGAAATTTGGTTTGTTTTTATTTAATCTCGTTTTGAAGTAATAATTCTTAACATTTCCTTGTCAAAAGTAAGAATTGTTTTATCGCTCACATGTGCTTTACATTATTCAGAGATGTTTGGTTGTTTTTAAGAGGATGGGTAAAAGTAGAGCTTTACAAGTTTTATATCTATATAAAGATCTCTTTACTGAATAAAACTTGCTCTAAAGATATGGAAACTGTGCATGTAGAACACTGTATTAAAACATATTTGAGATAATACATGTTAATATCAGATTATTTGCAGGTATAGAAATTACATAGGTAAGCAGTTACTTCCCATTTCAATACACAGTGTACTAAATGTATTAGATTAGTTCTTAATGTGGGTTGGTTGGAGTTAATATAGTCCTGTTTCATTGCAGAATATACCAAGTTAACTGAGGTTAATTTTTAACATAGGATATATTGAAATAACATAGGGCTATTTCCTGTTTCATTGTTGCACAGAAGACTAAGTGAAGGAGAGGTTAGTTTCCAATATGAGTATATGAAACTAATAAAGGGTTATTTCAGTCCGTTTCATTGCACAGAATATGAAGTTGACCCTTTCCAGACAGGTCACGGATCAAAGGCCATGTTATTGTGTTTGTTTCTGCGAACACACGAATGAAAGGAATTGATGTTCTGTAGCATTTGTGAACAAAAGTTTTTCTCTTCTGTTTTCTCCAGGTTCCAGAATTAGGATCAAGTAGCAGTCGTCGAGGATATAATAGGATCCACCAGTTAGGTGTCCAACTTCTTGGAATATCACTTGGTACTTCTGTCATGTTGCTTATAGCTCTTTATGAGCATGACCTGAAGTCTGCTCTAACAAACAAATAGGAATTACTAGCTTCCCAAGTGTTTAATACATGAAAAACAAATTAACAAATTGTTGTATCAAAGAAACAAGCCTTCTTTACTACATTACTATTTCAACAAACTCCAAAAACTTACTGTTGTAAAAATTAGTGTTCCTACAGATATGTGCATGAACACATGGTATGGAAAGTTTGTAATATATTTCTTGCTGTGTGTATAATTCTAGCATTTCATAAAGGTATGTAGTTTGAGAACAATTATATTTTTAAGATTATTAAAATTATTTGTTGAAGATTAGGATTCCTGTATGGAAGATATCTATAAATAGCAGAGTTTATTGGAATTATGTATTGAAAATATTTGATATTTTTTGTATAGAAGATCAGGATAGCAAATGATATACCTTAAATAATAGGATTTATTGGGATTATTTGTTGATGATCAAGTTTTCCCTGAGATAATTTTAAGTTATCAAGAATTACATATTCATACAAATAGCTGGGTTTATCAGGAACATTTCCAAATGTCCATAATACTATAACATCCTGTACCTAAAATTGATGCTCAAAGCAGAGTATTTTATGAATTGAAACATAACTTGCTGAAAAATGGGATTTTCTAAATTATCTGTTGTGTTTTTGAGAACAGATACTAATGAATGGGATTACTTTTCAGTAGAATCAAAGTTAAAAAATGGGTTGAGATTTTCCAAGATGATTTGTTATTCAACTGAATTCTCAATTGCATAGTATTACCAGGATCATTGAAAATCAAATTTGCCTTAAATAGTCTTCTGAAGGATTCTTTAACAAGTTTCAATAAATAATTTTTATCCTTAAAAGGTTGAAGAAAGAAGCTTATTACTTGAACAGTGTTGAATAAAGAAATTAAAGCCTAGTGTGGCTTTTTGAGGCACCCAAACACCTTCTTTATGGAGTTTTGCCATATTCTTTAGATGTTTACATATTGTTTCATGAGAGACATGCAATTTCAGGGCCATTTCATGAGTGTGTTGCCCTGGGTTAGACTCAACAAGCATCTTCAGAGAATCAATATCAGTTTCAACATGTCAGCCCCTGCCATCACAGTTTTTAAGGCTAAAGTCACCTGAACAAAATTTGATAAATCACCGTTGACACTTATGAACATTCAAAACATTTCAATAAATTTCTTTGATATTTTTTTTGGCTACAAAGGTGTTGTTTCCCTTCTTGTCTTCAAATAATATTACATGCCGTCGTGTGCCATCATTATATGGGATTAGATTATAATAAACTATACACATTGTATAGGCTACACTAAAGTAACATTAACCTTATGATCTGCTCACAGAGATTGTAGTTTTTAAATTGGTAATATTTGTGTTTCTTTTTGGTGACACTTCAATTTGGATCTGTCTTAGTATATAAAATAAGATGGTTTGAATTGTGACTCTTGTTTCAAGAATTTTGTCAGTTAAAGTAATGAAATAAACCTCTTTGGACTTTCAAAACTAATTTCATCATTGACCCATCAAACTCAATGAGTGAATTTCCAACTTTAAAATTGAGTTTTCAACTTAATGACTAGATCTCCAATTCTGTGACTGATATCTAAATCTCTAAATGTTCTCAAACTCTTTGATTGAGTCTACAATGTAATAACTAAATCTTCAGCTCTATGATTCAGTATTTAAATGATATGTCTAGATTTCCATCTCTGTTATAATATTTTCAAATTACTTAACATATATCTACATCCGTGTCTGTACCTCAAACTTTATCACTGGGCATCAAGATCTGTGACTGAGCCTCAAAATCTATGTTGAAGTGAATGGAATTAAAAGTTCTTTGAATAAACAGCTTGAGTTTGTTTAGTTTGTGAGGAATATGGACAGTTAACATCCTGAGAAACAAAAATGATTATAGGCATAATAACTTCTATTGGTCTTATCAGTATGATCCGTGTGTTCCTGTGTAATGTTGCAAATAAAATATCTGATAAATGTTGAATATTGTTCATTTATTGCCCTACTATGGAAAAATCTGAGACACAAATACACACAATAGTTTTCTATCTACACATGATTTTGGACAATACCTGCTTTTTTTAATCACAGAGAGGACTTTACTGAAATATGAAGACTAGGTAATTCTGAAGCCAAGATGAACACATAGCCAGGAAGATAAAATTAACATTTTCAAGTTAGGAGAATTACCTTGATGTCAGAATTAAAGTCTTAAAGTGGAGCAACTTCTTATCATTAAGTCATTCAAGTCTGTTTGTACAAAATTACATAGTTTCTTATCATTCTATGACCTTGGTATGGTTGTACACAATTTCCTAGTCTTTGATTATTGTGGACAGGGCACTCGACTTGCAACCTGAGGGTCGTGGGTTCGACTCCCCCTCCCATCAAACGTGTTTGCCTTTTTTAGTTGTGGGGATGTTATAATGTGACAGTCAATCCCTCTATTCGTTGTTAAAAGAGTGGCCCAAGAGTTGATGGTGGGTGGTGATGACTAGCTGCCTTCCTTCTAGTCTTTCACAGCTAAATTAGGGATGGCTATGGCTAGAGCAGATAGCCTTTGTGTAGCTTTGAGCAAAATTCAAAAAACAAACAAACCGATCCTTATATGACTGGTATGGTTGTGCAGAACTTCCCAGTTTTGATCATTGGTGTAATTGTGTAACATCTAGTTTCTAATCATTCTATGATCTTAGTGTTATTGTGTGGTATCTCCTATTTTCTGATTATAGTATGACCTTAGTGTGATTATGCAGAATTTCCTAATATCTGATCATCATACAATCTTGGTGTGATTGTAAAGGGTTTCCTAGTTTTTGATCATTATATGATCTTGGTATGATTGTAAAGGATTTCCTAGTTTTTGATCATTACATGATCTTGGTGTGATTGTAAAGGATTTCCTAGTTTTTGATCATTACATGATCTTGGTGTGATTGTAAAGGATTACCTAGTTTTTGATCATTACATGATCTTAGTGTGATTGTAAAGGATTTCCTAGTTTTTGTTCATTTCATGATCTTGGTTAATGATCAAAAACTAGGAAATCCTTTACAATCACCATGATCTTGGTGTGATTGTAAAGGATTTCCTAGTTTTTGTCATTACATGATCTTGGTGTGATTGTAAAGGATTCCTAGTTTTTGATCATTACATGATCTTGGTGTGATTGTAAAGGATTACCTAGTTTTTGATCATTACATGATCTTAGTGTGATTGTAAAGGATTTCCTAGTTTTTGTTCATTTCATGATCTTGGTGTGATTGTAAAGGGTTTCCTAGTTTTTGATCATTATATGATCTTGATCTGATTGTCCAAAAATTCATGGTTTCTTACTATTATATGAACTTATTAACATTTATAAATAACAATAATGACGAATCAGAGATATGGATAACAACCATGATACTATTGGGATTACGGATATCAATAACAAGTATGAGAAAATGAGGGATTAGAGATATCAATAGCAATAATGAACCAATGTGGGATTAAAATATTAACAACCATGAAATATTAAATGTAATAATCGTATACCATGAGAAATTGGAGACATAAGAAACAATTATAGAACCAAAAGAGAAAACGGATGTAAGTAACAACCATAAAATTAAAAATATCCATGAGACCATGCGAGATTTAAAATATCGGTAATGACCACGAGACCCTGATGGATTATGTATAAAAATAACAGCCATGAAATATTAAATATAAAAGTTATATGCAATGTGGGATTAGAGATATAAATAACAATTATGAGACCATGAGGGATATCGATAACAACTATGATACCATGTGGGTTTATATATATCAATAACGATCATGAGAACTGGTGTATTAAAAATATAAACCATAAGACTAGGAAGGATTAAAAATATCAACCATGATACCATGTGAGTTTATAGATATCAATAACGATCATGAGATCTGGGGTATTAAGAATATCAACCATGATACCATGTGGGTTTATCGATATCAATAACGATCATGAAGTCTGGGGTATTTAAAATATCAACCATGTGAGTTTATAGATATCAATAACGATCATGAGATCTGGGGTATTTAAAATATCAACCATGATACCATGTGGGTTTATAGAGATCTGGAGTATTAAAAATATCAAGCGTGATACCATGTGGGTTTATAGATATCAATAACAATCATGAGATCTGGGGTATTTAAAATATCAACCATGAGACCATGTGAGATTTAAAGTGTCAATAACAATCATAAGGCCTCCACTGGCACAACCGTATGTCTGTGGACTTACAACGCTAGAAACAAGATTTGGTGGGCAGGGCACAAATAAACCATTGTGTAACTTTGTGCGTCACTACAAACAAACAATCATGTGGAATTACAGATATAAATATAAGCTATTTAACCAAGTGGGAGGCCCGGCATGGCCAGGTGGTTAGGACGCTCGACTCGCAATCTGCGGGTCGCGGGTTCGCATCTCCATCCCAC